TTTTTGGACCAACATGTTTGTTTCATCACAAAAAAGTCAATATTGGCTTTGCAAAATATTACATATTTCATCCATTCATCTATTATCTTTTACCCGCTTCTTCCATTTTGGGTCACGGGGGTCGCCGGTGCCCATGTCCAGCAATCACTGTGCGAGGGGCGGGGTACACCCTGGACAGATCTCCAGTCCATCACAGAGACACATATAGAGACAAATGAGACAAACAACCATTCACTCACTCTCTCACACCTAGGGACAATTTAGAGTTACCAATCAGCCTAACTATTTCAGTGTAAAGTAAATTGATTTGAAATTAGATTAAATGTTCTGTTGAGATTACAATAACTGGTTTATTTGAAATGTCCCTCTCCCAACATGGGTGGGGCCATCAGCTTCAACTACAAGAAACAAACATCCATTCATCCATCCATCATCTTTTACCCGCTTCTTCCATTTTGGGTCAGGGGGGTCGTTGGTGCCCATGTCCAGCAATCACTGTGCGAGGTGCACCCTGGATAGGTCACAAGTCCATCACAGGGACACAGAGAAGAGTTAACAATCAGCCTAACTTGTTATTGGTCTGTGGTAGAAAACTGGAGTACCCGGAGAAAACCCACGCATGCATGGAGAAAACATGAAAACTCCACTCAAAAGGGCCCTCGGACCAGGATTTGAACCGGGGACCTGCTCGCTGAGAGGCAGCAGCTCTACCCGTTGTGCTACTGTGCTTCCCACACAAACAAACAAACAAATAAAACAAAAGAAAACAAACAATAAAAAAGAACAAAACTCCCTTCAACTTCTTTATAAGAATTACAAAAACGCCAGAATAGAAGACATACTGATGCTGGTCATAAAATTAGAATATCATGAAAAAGTTGATTTATTTCAGTAAATCCATTCAAAAAGTGAAACTTTTATTCATTACACACAGACTGATATATTTCAAATGTTTATTTATTTTAATGTAAATGATTATAACTGACAACAAATGGAAATCCCAAATTCAGTATGTCAGAAAATTAGAATACTACTTAAGACCAATAAAAAAAGGATTTTTAGAAATGTTGGCCAACTGAAACGTCTGAACATGAAAAGTATGAACATGTACAGCCCTCAATACTTAGTTGGGGCTGCTTTTGCCTGGTTTCCTGCAGCAATGCGACGTGGCATGGTGTTTATCAGTCTGTGGCACTGCTCAGGTGTTCTGAGAGCGCAGGTTGCTCTGATAGTGGCCTTCAGCTCTTCTGAATTGTTGGGTCTGGTGTAAAACATCTTCCTCTTCACAATACCACATAGATTTCTATGGGGTTAAGGTCAGGTGAGTTTGCTGACCAATTAAGAACAGGGATACCATGGTCCTTAAACCAGGTACTGGTAGCTTTGGCACTGTGTGCAGGTGCAAAGTTCTGTTGGAAAATAAAATCTGCATATCCATAAAGTTGGTCAGCAGAAGGAAGCATGAAGTCTCTAAAACTCCCTGGTAGACAGCTGTGTTAACCTTGGACCCCAGAAAACACAGAAGCCTTCAGTCTGGTCCACAAAGTTGAAAAGCTTTTCAGAACAAGAACCGGTCAATCTTTCATGGAACTCCCCAATGCCCTGGATACTGTAGGGAGAGAAGCAAGTCTGTTAGAAAGCATGCATCCTTCATGTCATGTGCAAAAAAAAAAACCCAGCAGGTTCATCAGGCTGAGACTAAGAATAGCAGCAAAACATATCTTCAATGAAAGAAAAACAGTTCTGTATAGTGCTGAGCATCTTGGAAGTAGAAGCCAGACAAAAAACACGAAGAAAAAACAATGACAAGCAGCATCTTGTACCACAACAAGCAAATCCCACCAAACACCTTGATTGATTCCATGGATGAGCTTGGGCTCTCCTTTGCAAATGCCACACCACCCAGGGCAGCTTCAACACCTGTACATATGGATGTATGGGTGGAGGGATTTTTATGTCCCTTGCATTTATTTAATTTCACTGATTATGCATAAATTATACTACGGAGCCCGGGAGGGGACGTGGGGGATATTTTCTTTTGCGTTCCCATGCAAAGGTTTTTGCGTTCATTCGCAATACTGTACTGTATGTAGTGTTACCTCACAAACAGCAACAATGGAACAGACACCCGTGTTTGAGGTTCATGGAGTTTGTGACTTGGTGCTACACAAATAAACTGAATTTAACTGAATTTTGAAATCAGCCTTAAATATAAGGATATCCAGCATGTGCTGCAGTGTTAAAATTAGTTTTACGTTGGATATTTTATGTTCATGCTCTGTGGATTCAGCAGTGGCTACCTCGTTCGAGCCGATGCAGGCAGCCCGATTTCCTTCAGCTGCTCTCTGTCTGTCCCTGTTCCGAGGAGCGATTTTTCTCTTAGGGACTGTAAACAAATTACTGTATTTTCAGAGTATTTGTCAAAGCAGCACCATGTAAGATAACTAAAATTTTCTCAGTATTTCTACATGGTAATAAATCGTGAATCGTTTTCTCACCATTTAAAATCCAAAAGAACAAGGTGGCACTTGCGTTTCAGAAGTATTGTAACTTTCTTTTAAAGCATCAACGTCCATGCTCAATCATCCAGGTACAAAATACAATAATGGTCAGTCAGGTCATCTCGACAGTTTCTTTTTTGTGAAAAGACGTTTCGCCCTCTATTCGGAGGGCTTCATCAGTCACCAGCAAAACCAGCAAACTGGTTGGGCCACTAAAGGAGTGTACTGCTTAGTGGGTAAAACCGTTTACTTGGGACTCCTCAGACTGATGAAGCCCTATGGAAGTGTGTGCTTAGTGCAGGGGTGGGCAAACTTTCAGACTCGCAGGCCACACCAACTTCTAAAATTGGAGCCAAGGGCCGGGCCAGGAACAGATGAATACACAGTCATTCACAGTCATCTTTCTGATAATAATCTGTTTGAAGAACTTTAGTCAGGTTTCCGCCCCCTCCACAGCACCGAGACAGCTTTGATTAAATTCACAGATGATCTCTTGGTTGCTGCAGACTCTGGACTTTTATCAATTCTCATTCTTCTTGACCTGAGTGCAGCATTTGATACCATTTCGCACAATATTCTTCTCGATATCCAAAAAAGTTCAATCTGGTCCTCTGGACATTCAAAAAAACAAAAAACAAAACAAAGCAAAAAAATCTAGAAACGTTTCGTCTCTCATCCAAGAGACTTCCTCAGTCTGAGGTGCTGTATTCAGCTCAGTCTCTTAAATAGCACCTTATCAGAGTGGATCAACCAGTTTGCTGCTGACAACCAAAACCAGCTGATCACATGCTCAAGAAGGACCATCAGCCTAACAATGGATCATTAGCACACTGATGGCTGTTTACTGTTCACAGAGGGCTGAGTGATACTAGCAATCACAGCATTGTAAGAGGGGGACAGTTGAACCCGGAGGCCTCCACCCCTGTTTAATGATGGACGATTTCTTTTCACAAAGATGGCCTCCTTTACTCCTCTCTCAAACCAT